CAATCTCAGCTCACTGCAACCTCCGCCTCCTGGGTTCATGCCATTCTCCTGCCTCAGCCTTCTGAACAGGTGGGATTACAGGCATGCACCACGCCTGCCTGACTTTTTGTATTTTTAGTAGAGACGGGGTTTCCCTGTGTTGGCCAGGCTGGTCTCGAACTCCTGACCTCAAGTGATCTGCCTGCCTCGGCCTCCCAAAGTGCTGGGATGACAGGTGTGAGCCATCGCGCCCGGCCTAATCTAGCTTTAATAGAAAAGGTGCTAATACAAGCTTGGTAGAATAAACTTGATGCAGACTTACTGTAACAAGCAGTCAATGCAATCTTAACCAAACAGGAATTAATAACAGTTTAACAAAAAAGGTAATACCACCTGAATAGAATACATCTTAATACAAGCTTCATAAGAACAAGAACTCATAAAACCTTAACAGAATAACCTAACACACCCTTAATAGAGTAATTAATTAATACAAATAAAACAGGAGCTAAGACAACCTTAATATAATTAACAGAATAACAACCATAAAAACTTAACGAAACAAGTTAACACAATCTTAATAGAATTATTATTAATTAATTATTAATTATTATTAATCCAACCTTAATAGAATAAAACTTTCTCTACCCTTAACAGAAAAAATTAGTTAATACAAAGTTATTAGAACAAGAGCTGCTGGATGCAGTGGCTCACGTCTGTCATCCCAGCACTTTGGGAGGCACCCCATAATATTTGTATTTTTAGGAGTAAGAGACGGGGTTTCCACCGTGTTAGGCCAGGGGATGGGCTCCATCTCCTGACCTCAGGGTGATCCGCCCACCCTTGCGCCTCTCAAAGTGCTAGGGATGACAGGCACACGCCACCACGTCTGGGTAATTGTTTCTATTTTTATTTTATTTTTTCTTTAATTTTGAGACGGGAGCCTCGCTCTGTCGCCCAGAGCTGGAGTGCAAGCAGTGGGCGTGATCTGGTCGGCTCACTGCAAAGCTCCGCCTCCGGGTTTACGCCATCTCCTGCCCTCAGCCTCCCGAGGTAGCTGGGACTACAGGCGCCCGCCACCATCACCGCGGTAATTTTTTTGTATTTTTTGGTAGAGACGGGGTTTCACTGTGTTAGCAGGCTGGTCTCGATCTCCTGACCTCGGTGATCCGCCCGCCCGTCGCCTCCCAAAGTGCTGGGATGACAGGCGTGGCACCCGCGTCTGGCTAACTTTTCTCTGGTTTTCAGAGTAGAGGTGGGGTTTCTTGTTACTGTGCCCAGACAACAGTCACCTGCTCCCTTTGTCTCCTTTGACCCCAACGCCTGCTGGGGCTACTGACTGCTCATTCGAGGAGCTTATCGCTGGTTCACAGGGTTGGCTGGCTCCGAAATCTTGGAAAGAACATCACTTTAGGGCACCATGATACCATGTCATGGGAGCTGTCAGCATTTGAACAGAACCAGAGTTAAGGCAGAGTTAATACCACCTTAAGAGGATCAAACTTAGTGCACCCTTCAACAGAAACATTAGCTAATGCAACTTTATAGACAAGAGTGACACAGACATAAGACACTTGGTCTCCTGGCTGGGTGCGGTGGCTCACGTCTGGTCATCCAGCACTTTGGGAGGTCGCAGGCGGGTGGATCACTTGAGGTCAGGAGATCGAGACCAGCCTGGCCAACATGGAGAAACCCCGTTCTCACTAAAAATAGAAAACTTGGCCGGCGCGGTGGCTCAAGCCTGTAAATCCCCAGCACTTGGGAGGCTGAGACGGATCACAAGGTCAGGAGATCGAGACCATCCTGGCTAACACGGTGAAACCCCGTCTCTACTAAAAAAATACAAAAAAAAACTAGCTTGGGCGAGGTGGCGGGCGCCTGTAGTCCCCAGCTACTCGGGAGGGCTGAGGCCAGGAGAATGGCGTGAACCCGGGAGGCGGAGCTTGCAGTGAGCTGAGATCCGGCCACTGCACCTCCAGCCTGGGCGACAGAGCGAGACTCCGTCTCAAAAAAAACAAACAAACAAACAAACAAAAAAAAACAACAAAAACAAAAAACAAAAAAAAATAAAAATAAAAATACAAAACTTATGGGCATGGTGGTGCCTGCCTGTCATCCCATCTACTCGGGACGGGGAGCAGGAGAATCACTTGACCCAGGAGGCAGGGTTGCAGTGAGCTGAGATCGCGCCACTAT